TCAGACTTATTATTAAAAGTACATAGCTACCTGTGTATAAATCAACTTGAATAGGCTTTATTTTGAAAATAATCCATTGTTTCCAGTTCTCATTGACACACAAATTATCACACTTCAGAGCAAGGAAGTGTATTATGAGTGAAAGCCTCTTTTATGCCATCAAGTATTTGTCAAGTATATAACTACACAGATGATAAGGAAAATTAATTCCAATTTTCATGCTCCTTCTCTTAGCTTATATTAGCTTCTCTTATAAGCACTAAAAACTGTAGTAAATATGGAATTTTATATCTTATTGTATTCCACAATGACATTTAAATTAGGTGTTTAAACTAAGCATAATTTAGAACTAACTTCTTTCAGTACCATAGGTTCTTTCCCCGCATCACTCACCAGCATTTTTTAAAAATAGTAGTAATAATGGAAAGTATGCACCTTAGATTCATAGAAAAAGCATGTATTGCAGCCTCTCACAGTTGTACAGATCCATACATTCAGAATGAAGGATATTTATGGATGCACAAGGAAAAAGTAATTTCTTTATACACCTGTGAGCAGATTTAATGGTAAAGACTCAATTAATAGATTAGGTGGTTGAACTGGTAATACTTAATAGTTAGAAGGCTGTTTTTATAGCTATTGTATAAAACAAGGCTTAAACTAAAAGCTTAATCAGCTGTGAGTCCTCACTTCCTTGTTAACAATATACCTCAAAGACAGAAGGTTATGATGACAAAGATGGTTTTATTGTTCATATTTAAAAGAAAAAAATTAAGAACAGTATCCTTCTAGCCTTAGCGGTCATATCCTGTTCCTCTATTCCAGAGTTTGAAGATGTTTAGGACTGATAGAATGGAATGCCACCATTCTAAGCAATGGATTTCAAGTATTCTCTCAGTCTCAGATTTTGTTTCAAGTTTCCTCACATCCATTATTCTTCTATTTACTTCCTTTTGCAGGGCCAGGTCTGTGGTCTCTGTGGAAATTATGATGGTAACAGCATCAATGACTTTACTACAAGGAGTCAATCTGTAGTAGAGAATGTCCTAGAGTTTGGAAACAGCTGGAAAGTATCCTCTACATGTCCTGATGCTGCCAGTGTCAAGGACCCATGTTCTACTAACCCTTATCGGAAGTCCTGGTCAGAGAAGCAGTGTAGCATCATCAACAGCAATGTCTTTGCTGCCTGTCACTCTCAGGTATTACCAAGGCAGAAGTTTACTGTGGGAAAACAAAGTCTGTGGGTTGTTGAAGGTGCTATTCTCATAGGTTTTAACATGCATGCCTTGTTTATTAATATGTTTAACTTCAAATTGTGCCAGGAAAACTCCAGTCTGCGACAGAGTTATTGTTCCTACTTGCAAGAAATAAAAAGACACTTACAAAAGAAAAAGAAATACATAATAATAATAATTTCATAATTACTATGTATTTCCTTACAGCATGACTTGGACAAAAATTCTCATATACCAAGCAGAGAAGACAAGCTCAGTGAAATAATAACATAGGAATGAAATACCAGCATAGACTTTACCTGACACTAAGTACATAACAAATGTTGTCAGGTAACTGTGCAGTTGTATAATATTTTGTGTTTTAATTTATCTAATCTTACACCAGGACACAAGTTTAGGTTTCTAAAAATCTGGCAATACATGGTTTGGATATATCATTTGGCATCACCTCAGGTGTCTTACAGTGTCTAACAAAAGGAAAAGAAATTACCAATGTAGGCCTTTCCTCTGGGATACTACAATTGCAAGAAAACTAGTCTAGCAAAGGTAAGAAATCACTTAGAAGGCAGGATGCATAGTATTATATTTCTGTTTAATAACAGGTTGAACCAGCAAAATATTACCAAGCATGTGTGACAGATGCTTGTGCCTGTGACACTGGAGGAGACTGTGATTGTTTTTGTACAGCAGTAGCTGCCTATGCTCAAGCATGTAGTGAAGTTGGTGTATGCGTAGCCTGGAGAAGCCCAGCAATTTGTCGTAAGTTTTATGTCATAAACACTTCTGAAAGTGTAGCTAAGTGTACAGTATCTTACATATGTGCATTAATATCTCACTGTGTAGATTTTTCATGCTTGAACTCTTTGTTTTTTTTTTCCTTTCCTGAATTCGTTCAACTTTCTCCTCAGCACTGTTCTGTGATTACTACAATCAGCAAGGAGAATGTGAATGGCACTATAAGCCTTGTGGTGCTTCGTGTATGAAGACCTGTAAGAACCCAAGTGGAAAATGCCTCAATAACCTGCCAGGTTTAGAAGGTAAAAATAGCTGCAAGTACCTCCAAGTGGGTATACATAGTACTATATTTTAAATTCTCCTTGATGAAGTATATTTCCTCCATCAGCTGCATTTGTAAAATTGAATTTTCTCTAATATTATGACACCCATGTGAATGGAGGCAGGGTATGGAAACTGGAGTAAGAAGATCTCTAAGACTAAGTTCTTATGAATAGGCTCTGCTGGTGCTAGTAACTCTGCATTTCTTTCTAGAACTATTGCAAAACATAAAAACATTATTACTATTAAAAACAAGACCTGCAAATGCATTCGGCGCAAATAAAACCTTTGCTGACTTGATCTTATTGTTACCTTTTCCACCTTCAGGCTGCTACCCTAATTGCCCACCAGACAAGCCATATTTTCATGAGGATCAGATGAAATGTGTTAGCCTCTGTGACTGTTATGATGATGAAGATGGAAAGATATATAAGCGGGATGAATGTAATATATGGTAAGACTTAACATACCAACCTCATCATATACAAGAAAAAAAGATCAAAAGTTGTATGTTTCTGTTACATGCAGGATCAGTTCATGCTATCTGTGATGAAATAATGCCTTACGATATAATGCCAGTTTCCTACTGCATTAATAAGAAGGTTTTATGTGATTTTATGCTTTAATGAATTTATTCCTGATTATATTGTAAATCCTCGGCATTAAGATACATCAAGAACAAGAAGTCCTTTATGACTAGGCTGTCTTTTTTCACATTCCTGTGGCAGGAAAAATGTTGTGCCATGAGTAAAGATATTTATTAGTGGCCTGCTTCCAAGGATTTTGTAACATACTTGCATCATTTGAGCATTTACATTCACCCTTTTAGCCTTCTATTTTAGTACAAAAAGATTGCAAATGCAAAGAAAGTGTTATGAAGGAAAAAAAAGAAAGTCCTCCTTAAGACTTCTACCTGTAACTTTGCATGATATTTAACTTCACTTCTGTTTATAAGTTTGGGTTTAATACAAAGGAAGATTCTGGAAAATAATGGCCAAAAATGAGACAAAACAAACAGAATGCTCTAGGAATAAACACAAAGTGCCATGCCTTTTCATGCCAGTATCTGTCAGAAAGATGACTAATAAAATTACATCAAAAGCACAAAATATATGGGGTTTTATGCTTTCTGTTTCAGTGAGTGCACATCAGAAGGTTTACAGTGCCAGTTTGATGATAAAGGTAAGACAGCTAAGAAAAATTATTAAGAAAAGGAAGTATTGGATACATTCTTTTCATAGATGCCTGAACTGACAATAAACTTCTGAATTACAGCCTGCAACTGCATTTATGAAGGGAATAGCTATAAATATGGTGAGGTCATCTACAATACCACAGATGGAACTGGATGGTGCTTCAGTGCAACGTGCGATGTCAATGGAACAATAAGCAGAAACATCTTTAAATGTGGCATTTTTACAACAACCCCATTTACATTTTCCACAAGTCAGCCCACAACTACTGCTTCAGGTATGCATGAATAATCTTTAAAATAACTCAAAAATCTCTGTAAGTGACTAAAAATTATCTGAAAGGCAGGACCTTTTCATCAGTCAACAGTATATAATTTTACTTGAAACTATTCATTTCTACTGGAGCTGCCAATTTACCTGGCAGCTTTAGTTGAAAAAGAATAGTTAAGGGCATAGAAATGAATACAGCATTTCTTAGAAACTCAGTCTCCTCTGTTTTACCATGGTGATCCCAGGGGGAAAATTAATAGAATTTATTAATCACTGCATCCTGGAGAAACTTCTCATTTCCTTGCAAAAAAACCCAGCAGTTCTAGACCAGCTTCTAAAAACATGACAGCTGCCATTTCTTAAATTAGTGAGCACATAAGAAATTTAGTTTGAGGGCGTGTTTAAACTATTTATAACCATTCTTTGGAACCTTTCCTAATTGTGTTTAATACCCAAATCAACAGTTTCCTTCTACCCTGGAGTACACTGCTATATTATTCCTGCAGTTAATTAATTACAATGACCAAGTTCTGAGTAATTGTGAGAAGCATATCCACAAAATTATACTACAGCAAGAACTAAATATTCAAATTTAAGTCTTCTATTAAGTAACATTTATATTGAGAAAATAGTATATATTCCACATGGTTATCTTCAAAATGCCAGGAATGTGAAATCTTATTAAAATACATAGAAAATACCTATTCGATTATATAATTCATATATAGTATATGTGTGTTCTCTATTATAATGTACTACATATAAAATACATATATGTTAACTATATATTTTATATGTATAAATATGTTACATGTGGTCATACTGAACTAAGAAGAAAAGTCAAAAACTGGTCAAAATATTTTAAAATCTGTGTGGTTATGCAGTTAAGTGTAAATAAATACAGAGATAATACCAAGGAGAATAAAATCTCCTCTACTTTTGTGATATCTGTCACATCTAAGCAGTGACATACTGTGCAAAGGACATGAGATTACCTATATTTAGCTACAAATCTTTATAGATGTCGAAGAAATTACCTCTAGAATAATAAGACAGGAAAAAAGTCAAAACCTACTTTAGAAATTAAATTTGAGACTGCCAAAGCAAATTCATTAATAATAAAAAAAATTCTTTACAACAACAACAAAAAAAAAAGGTATGGAAGATAAATAGTTTCTTCCTGGAACCCTCTTTAATAAGAACAGACAAGACTTATGTTTTCCCCTTTAAATTACAGAAATGACAACTGCAACACCAGTGACAACGGTATGTGTGAAAAATGTCTGTGTGTGGACAGAATGGTATGATTCTACTCAGCCTGAAAACAAAGAGGACAGTGGAGATTATGAAACATATCAAAATCTCAAGGATAAAGGATATAGTGTCTGTACAAACCCAATCGACGTTCAATGCAGAGCCAAAGAATACCCAGATACTGAAATTACAAACCTTAACCAAACAATAGAGTGTAGTCAAAGAAGAGGATTAATATGCAATAATCAGGACCAAGAATCTAAGCAGTGCTATAATTATGAAATCAGAATATCATGCTGCAGATATATACCATGTTCAGAAGCACAAACTACAACACCAACAACCACAAGAGAATTCACAACCACTGCTCTAGAATCAACACCATTTACAGTACAGACAACAATAATACCAACACAAATACACAGAAGTCAAGTGACTACAACACCACCGAGAGTCCAAGAAACAACTCTGACCGAAACACCAGTTACAGCAACAACATCACATGTCTCAACAACAGGTTACCAAATCACAACTACTACAGCAGAAACCTCCACTGCAGTAACCCAAGCTCCATCATCACCCAATACCATCTCCATTCTCCCAGAATCAACACTCAAAACAACACTGGGCACCACAATAATCTCCAGGACTACTGCCCTACAAAGCATGGCTGTTATGACACCAAGAGTGACTACCCAAGTTACCACCAATGCCAGCACCTCCATGTCAACTGCAGGAAGTACCACAAGAGCCTCTTCTACCTCTGCTCCAGGAGAAACCTCCACTGTGACAACCCAGGCTTCAACATCTCTAACAACACCCTCTGATGTTATAGTAAGAACCACCACAGGCACCACGGCCGGCCCCAGTACCAAAACCTCCGGCAGGGCCAGAGCGGGGACAACCCCCATCGCTACCACCACCAGAACCTCTCCCTCTCCGACTGAAGTCATTACTACCACAACCCCACCCACAACAACAGAGCCCACGCCAGCCACCACCACTATCCACACCTCCAATACCACAGACAACTGCGTGGTGGAGCAGTGTGCCTGGACACAGTGGTTTAATGTGGACTCCCCTACTTCAGGCAGCGAAAATGGAGATTTAGAGACATTTGATAACATCCGAGCTGCTGGGTATGAGTTGTGTGACAAGCCAAAAGACATCAAGTGCCAAGCTAAAGACTACCCTGACAGCATTGTGAAAGCAATGGAACAGAAATTTGACTGCAGTCTTGACAGGGGGCTCGTGTGCAAAAATGAGGATCAGACTCCCAAGTATCCCACATGCTTCGACTACGAGGTCTCAGTGCTGTGTTGTGCCCTAAAACCCTGCCGGACAACAGTACCACCACCAGGAACCACTGTAAGAACCTCCACAGAATACTTCACAACAGAAACAACCACAACAGAAATACAACCTACTGCAACATCAACTGCTGGCCCCACACCTTCACAGGGAATAACAACAACCACAGTAGGAACAAGTACCCTCTCAACACAAGGAACCACAACTGTCACCTCAGGATACCCACAGCCTATAATAGAAACCACCACTGGCACTACGGCCGGCCCCAGTACCACGGCCTCAACTAGAGAGGGCACAAGCCCCATCGCTACCACCACCAGAACCTCTCCCCCTCAGACTGAAAGCACAACCACGATCATCCCACCCACAAAAACAGTGCCTACCCCTTCCACCAGCACTGCCAGCACCTCCGTGACAACTGCAGGAAGTACCACAAGAGCCTCTTCTACCTCTGCTCCAGGAGAAACCTCCACTGTGACAACCCAGGCTTCAACATCTCTAACAACACCCTCTGATGTTATAGTAAGAACCACCACAGGCACCACGGCCAGCCCCAGTACCACGACCTCCGGCAGCGCCAGAGTGGGGACAACCCCCATCGCTACCACCACCAGCACCACTCCCCCTCCGACTGAAGTCATTACTACCACAACCCCACCCACAACAACAGAGCCCACGCCAGCCACCACCACTATCCACACCTCCAATACCACAGACAACTGCGTGGTGGAGCAGTGTGCCTGGACACAGTGGTTTAATGTGGACTCCCCTACTTCAGGCAGCGAAAATGGAGATTTAGAGACATTTGATAACATCCGAGCTGCTGGGTATGAGTTGTGTGACAAGCCAAAAGACATCAAGTGCCAAGCTAAAGACTATCCTGACAGCATTGTGAAAGCAATGGAACAGAAATTTGACTGCAGTCTTGACAGGGGGCTCGTGTGCAAAAATGAGGATCAGACTCCCAAGTATCCCACATGCTTCGACTACGAGGTCTCAGTGCTGTGTTGTGCCCTAAAACCCTGCCGGACAACAGTACCACCACCAGGAACCACTGTAAGAACCTCCACAGAATACTTCACAACAGAAACAACCACAACAGAAATACAACCTACTGCAACATCAACTGCTGGCCCCACACCTTCACAGGGAATAACAACAACCACAGTAGGAACAAGTACCCTCTCAACACAAGGAACCACAACTGTCACCTCAGGATACCCACAGCCTATAATAGAAACCACCACTGGCACTACGGCCGGCCCCAGTACCACGGCCTCAACTAGAGAGGGCACAAGCCCCATCGCTACCACCACCAGAACCTCTCCCCCTCAGACTGAAAGCACAACCACGATCATCCCACCCACAAAAACAGTGCCTACCCCTTCCACCAGCACTGCCAGCACCTCCATGACAACTGCAGGAAGTACCACAAGAGCCTCTTCTACCTCTGCTCCAGGAGAAACCTCCACTGTGACAACCCAGGCTTCAACATCTCTAACAACACCCTCTGATGTTATAGTAAGAACCACCACAGGCACCACGGCCAGCCCCAGTACCACGACCTCCGGCAGCGCCAGAGTGGGGACAACCCCCATCGCTACCACCACCAGAACCTCTCCCCCTCAGACTGAAGGCACAACCACGATCATCCCACCCACAAAAACAGTGCGTACCCCTGCCACCAGCACTGCTAGCACCTCCGTGACAACTGCAGGAAGTACCACAAGAGCCTCTTCTACCTCTGCTCCAGGAGAAACCTCCACTGTGACAACCCAGGCTTCAACATCTCTAACAACACCCTCTGATGTTATAGTAAGAACCACCACAGGCACCACGGCCGGCCCCAGTACCAAAACCTCTGGCAGGGCCAGAGCGGGGACAACCCCCATCGCTACCACCACCAGCACCACTCCCCCTCCGACTGAAGTCATTACTACCACAACCCCACCCACAACAACAGAGCCCACGCCAGCCACCACCACTATCCACACCTCCAATACCACAGACAACTGCGTGGTGGAGCAGTGTGCCTGGACACAGTGGTTTAATGTGGACTCCCCTACTTCAGGCAGCGAAAATGGAGATTTAGAGACATTTGATAACATCCGAGCTGCTGGGTATGAGTTGTGTGACAAGCCAAAAGACATCAAGTGCCAAGCTAAAGACTATCCTGACAGCATTGTGAAAGCAATGGAACAGAAATTTGACTGCAGTCTTGACAGGGGGCTCGTGTGCAAAAATGAGGATCAGACTCCCAAGTATCCCACATGCTTCGACTACGAGGTCTCAGTGCTGTGTTGTGCCCTAAAACCCTGCCGGACAACAGTACCACCACCAGGAACCACTGTAAGAACCTCCACAGAATACTTCACAACAGAAACAACCACAACAGAAATACAACCTACTGCAACATCAACTGCTGGCCCCACACCTTCACAGGGAATAACAACAACCACAGTAGGAACAAGTACCCTCTCAACACAAGGAACCACAACTGTCACCTCAGGATACCCACAGCCTATAATAGAAACCACCACTGGCACTACGGCCGGCCCCAGTACCACGGCCTCAACTAGAGAGGGCACAAGCCCCATCGCTACCACCACCAGAACCTCTCCCCCTCAGACTGAAAGCACAACCACGATCATCCCACCCACAAAAACAGTGCCTACCCCTTCCACCAGCACTGCCAGCACCTCCATGACAACTGCAGGAAGTACCACAAGAGCCTCTTCTACCTCTGCTCCAGGAGAAACCTCCACTGTGACAACCCAGGCTTCAACATCTCTAACAACACCCTCTGATGTTATAGTAAGAACCACCACAGGCACCACGGCCAGCCCCAGTACCACGACCTCCGGCAGCGCCAGAGTGGGGACAACCCCCATCGCTACCACCACCAGAACCTCTCCCCCTCAGACTGAAGGCACAACCACGATCATCCCACCCACAAAAACAGTGCGTACCCCTGCCACCAGCACTGCTAGCACCTCCGTGACAACTGCAGGAAGTACCACAAGAGCCTCTTCTACCTCTGCTCCAGGAGAAACCTCCACTGTGACAACCCAGGCTTCAACATCTCTAACAACACCCTCTGATGTTATAGTAAGAACCACCACAGGCACCACGGCCGGCCCCAGTACCAAAACCTCCGGCAGGGCCAGAGCGGGGACAACCCCCATCGCTACCACCACCAGCACCACTCCCCCTCAGACTGAAGTCATTACTACCACAACCCCACCCACAACAACAGAGCCCACGCCAGCCACCACCACTATCCACACCTCCAATACCACAGACAACTGCGTGGTGGAGCAGTGTGCCTGGACACAGTGGTTTAATGTGGACTCCCCTACTTCAGGCAGCGAAAATGGAGATTTAGAGACATTTGATAACATCCGAGCTGCTGGGTATGAGTTGTGTGACAAGCCAAAAGACATCAAGTGCCAAGCTAAAGACTACCCTGACAGCATTGTGAAAGCAATGGAACAGAAATTTGACTGCAGTCTTGACAGGGGGCTCGTGTGCAAAAATGAGGATCAGACTCCCAAGTATCCCACATGCTTCGACTACGAGGTCTCAGTGCTGTGTTGTGCCCTAAAACCCTGCCGGACAACAGTACCACCACCAGGAACCACTGTAAGAACCTCCACAGAATACTTCACAACAGAAAAAACCACAACAGAAATACAACCTACTGCAACATCAACTGCTGGCCCCACACCTTCACAGGGAATAACAACAACCACAGTAGGAACAAGTACCCTCTCAACACAAGGAACCACAACTGTCACCTCAGGATACCCACAGCCTATAATAGAAACCACCACTGGCACTACGGCCGGCCCCAGTACCACGGCCTCAACTAGAGAGGGCACAAGCCCCATCGCTACCACCACCAGAACCTCTCCCCCTCAGACTGAAAGCACAACCACGATCATCCCACCCACAAAAACAGTGCCTACCCCTTCCACCAGCACTGCCAGCTCCTCCATGACAACTGCAGGAAGTACCACAAGAGCCTCTTCTACCTCTGCTCCAGGAGAAACCTCCACTGTGACAACCCAGGCTTCAACATCTCTAACAACACCCTCTGATGTTATAGTAAGAACCACCACAGGCACCACGGCTGGCCCCAGTACCACGACCTCAGCCAGAGAGGGGATAACCCCCATCACTACCACCACCAGCACTGCCTCCACTTCACCTGAAATAACAACTTCTGGCCCCTCAGTTATGCTCACTACCACTCTTCCTCAGTCTGGCAGTACCGCAGGTAAATTCTTATAACATTAATTTCTCCTACTGTAGAAAATACTGCTATAGCAGTTTTCTGGAGCACCACTGTCAGCCCAGGTATGCCATTGTGTACTTTTAAAAATTTTACAACCATCTTTTTCTTTAGAAACAGCCTTCCTATCTTTGTGTTCGGTGTCTTCTTTCCCTCAACCAGTCTCTGATTATATGAATCTATGACCATTTTTGTTTCTTAAAACACATAAACCAATTTTTTATTAATCTGCCGTTTTGTTACTAGTATATATGTTTGTCAGCTTGGTTAACTTCTTAGTATTGATTCTTACTTAAATGTAGAAAGTTGAGACTTTTCAAAACTTTAGAAGTAAATCTCATCAGATTTGCCAAAGGCCAGATATAACTCAATGCATAATGAAAATATTTCCACAGTCTCCCCTTATGAATAGGTCAAATATTTGAATGCAAGAAACATGTTCACTTGGTTTGCCAGAATGTTGAATAGACCTCTTGAATATGTTAAAATTATTGGATCAAAATCCTGTACCTGCAAACTAAATTATATTACTTTTGCTCAACAGTAGCTTCAACTGGTACATCACAATCAAGTCATGCTACAACAAGCACTCCTGAAACCTTCAGTTCTTCCACCAGCACATCTGTTACATCCACAAAAATACCTCCATGCTTTTGTCATGTGTTTGAAACTTTATTTTCTCCTGGTAAGTATCTTATTTTATGATTATAAAAAACATCATAAGCAATATAAACCCTTAGGACTCTATTCAGTTAAAGATAACCACTCAAAAACATCTAAAGGTAGAACGTTTTATACATTAATACGCTTAATATTTTCACAATATTTTCTTGTTTTTTCTCCCCATGTATTTTCATTCTTGTAATTTCTCCTCCGATTTTCATCTACAGGGGAAGTGGTATACAACAGAACAGATAGAGCTGGCTGTAATTTTTATGCACTTTGCAGCAAGGAATGTGAGATTAAGCCTTTCTACGGACCGTGTCAACCTCCTGTTCCTTCAGTCGCCTCCTCAACTACATCACAAGCTAGCTCACCAACCACAGCAACAACCACCACAACTTCAGTAGCAGGAAACTGCAGTGATGTCATTCCTGCACGAAAGGTGGCTCCCCTCCCTACCTTCTAACAAACCACCAGTGTTGCAAAACCAGACCAATTTCTGTCCTTTAACAGCCAATTCAAATCAACCTCTATGTATTTCAATAACAAAGTTGGTCATGTAACAAATGACCTGACAGCACGCAATTATTTAACCTGGCATTACTAGACTTTTAAGTAATCTCTTGGTGGAAAAGCGCATTAAGACCATAGCAGAAACTTTTGGTTTTAATAAAAGTAATTTAAATTTCATAGAGATAAGTAGATTAGCCATGAAATTTAAAATACCACTCTTTTTATGCAGAAGAAAATTCTGTGGTTATTCTGAGCATACGTGTTCTTAAATAATGTGCTAAAACTACTCCAATCTGAATTTCCTACTAATTTTGAAAGTATATCCTAAGTTAAAACTGAACAACTAGGATGAAGGAGCATTTAAGAATAAATAATTTACATATTTTCAGCCTGGAGAGGAGTGGATAAATGAATGCCAGAAGTGTGTCTGCGACTCCCTCACTGCTACTGTGCAATGCCAGCCGCTCCCATGCCCAACAGCTCAGCAAACAATTTGTGACCTAGGATTTGTTTCCATGGCTGTACTACCACAAAAAGACCCATGTTGTCATGAATTTGAATGCCGTAAGTATTAAAAATACAGGTATAAATACCACTCCAGTAAATTATATTTGCGCTTCTGTTAATATCTAAGGAAGTTCTTAATGTATCACAGTAATAGCAAAATATTTCTTAAATTTTTCTGTCTCCGTGAACACACAACGATCTTTAGCTAAATATGCATTAAAGCTTTGTTTAAAAAATAATGTTATTTTCATTCAACTTTGATGAGAGAATGGGTGGGAGAGCAGAATAATATTTTGAACATTTACTGGTCTATGTAGCTCAACTATCTTTGTACCTGTAATTATAAATGTTATCAATGCATATTTTTCGTGTTATTAATGGAACGTTGGAGAACATTAACATTAGCTTAAATGCAGCTAGACTAAGATGCAGAAACATAAGAATAAGCTACTAAAAAGCTGAACAGTTAACTACAAGACCAAGTAACAGGAAGCAATAGTACAAAGTGAATTATAATCAGTAACTGAATTGACAGTGTATGAAAAGTAATAATCATACTTACACTCTTGCCAGATGCTCATAAAAATAAAAAAATCCTACAGTTATATTATTTATAAACATACACTTTTATATACATATATTTTATGTATGTATACTTGTGCAAAAGACCTAAAAGAAAAAAGTACACACAAATTAAGCCTGAAAAAGGAAAATCAAAACAAAGGAACAGGCAAGATAAAAGCAGTTCTGAGAAAGACATAGATGGGTTCTGCCATGTTGTCAGATTTACATTAGGTAGGAATACCTTTAATAGGAGTACCTTTTTCCACAGGGTCAGTCTTCCGTACAAGCCATGTTCTGAAAGGTCATGAAGAATCAATAACTGAAGCATCTTTGTTTATCACTGGAGGCTGAGGGTTCCCAGAGGAAACAACTAATTTAATTTGAATTGAACCAAATATTGAAAGGGCAAAAAAGGGATTTTTCAGGCATAGCTTGACCTTGAAGCCATTCCTCTCCACCTCCTCCAGCTGATTTTAATGATGAAACTTTATGTAAACATTCAGCTACACTACATACGAAGTCTAAGCACATAGGGGATTGAATTCAAGTTTTCATACTCTCTGTGTTACAAATAAAACCTGATAAAATCTTGACTTCTCAGGAAGTCTCATAATTTGAGTTATTCTGGAGTTAATATTTTGTCTTGTTTTTCAGAACCAATACCTGATGTCTGTGTGATTAATGGAACATTGTACACGGTAAGAATGATATAGCAGCATATTGCTGGAAGTGAAAAGTACATCCTTTCTACCAAAACAAGTCTTTGAGACAAAAAGTTCTTTTCCCAGCACATGTTTTTGGGGGTTTTTCGCTCTAGCCCTTAATTGGAAGTTGTTTGGGTATTTTAAAGTCAAAATCAAATTTGTCACAGGAGTCTTCTTCATCGAGTAGTATAAAAGAAGAGTGTACCATTTTTAGTGATGTACTTTCTTTTTAAGCTTCCTCTCACTTCTGTAATTAATGACTTTGCCAGACAATCTGATGAATAGCCCAAACTCAATTGCTCTTTGAAATAAGCTCAGAGAACCTTAAAACCAAAGCTAACATTTTTGATTTAACTGATAGCTAAACCCTTTTGCTAAATTGGTACTTAGGCCATTAACTCATAACTTAAATATTATCACTGGAGTCTTTGGGGACACATTTCAGAAAGACTAAAGTCCATATGTAAATTTAGATCTCTGCTTATGTATCTGCATATCTAAAGGCTTATTTTAATCCCCATTTTTAAATTATAATTCTTTTACAACCACTGAACAACTTATAGAGGAAAAATATTCTTAAATGGAGCACTGAAAAGCTGGTAAAATAATTAGACAGTACAAACCAATCTTAATTTAATTTAATTTAATTAATGTACTGCTCCCTTTTACATTGCTTCATCTAGTTTCCTCTTAATATGAGCTTTCCTGCAAGGCATGAAGCCAAAAAACTCTACATTCAAAGAGAATTTGAGAACTGTCCTACTTGTGTTTCAGCAGCCTTAATGGTTCTCAGCAATGCTTTCAACTCTGCCTTTATATTATATAAAAACTGTTGGCATTTGAATGTTTTTTGGTTTTTTTTTTTTTTTCCTGTCTTGCAGGTTGGAAAGTCAGTAGTAATCGATTCATGTAAGAAGTGTACCTGCAGTTCTGAGAAGGATCCAGAGACTAATGCAAACATTATGCATTGTGAAACATTTCCATGTGAGACATCTTGTCCGCTGGTGAGTTCAGGTTCTCTAGGCTGCCCAGTCAGCTACAGCAAGACTAGAATTCTCCATCACTAATTCAACATACTTTCTCTTTCATCTCTTTCCGAGTAGGCTTACCAATACATGGCTGAGGAAGGACAGTGCTGCGGGAGGTGTGTGCAAATAGCTTGCACAGTCAAACACAGTAACGGCACTGTTCATGTTCTCAATGTAAGTATTCCTTTCATTTTCAGATCTGTTAGCCCATACAAGTTAGAACAGATAAGAGTCAACTTATGTCCCTTACTAGAAAAATAAAATACTGAAATTACTCTGACAAGCAATGTATCAGATATCTGAGTTGAACATTATTTGGAATCAAATTCTTGATTCTTGTGGCTAATGGAGCAATGGTTTCTAATTTGTGGTCTAAGTGTTCAGAGCCAGGATTTAAACTTTCAAGCTGGCTAGTTTGTAGAATTTCATTTTTGTCACTTGAAAGAAGTTATCTGAGAATCTTTGAGGAGTGAGAACTTAATTAATTCAGACATACTTGATCACAATGAAAAAATCCAACTTCTGCTTTTCTTATAAAATCTTAGGTTAATGAGACCCTGCCATTTGATCAGTGCAGCCACTACAAATGTGAAAAAATTGAAGATCAGTTTGTTGCAGTTGAAAGTAAAAGAGTGTGCCCTGACTATGACCCTGGAGAGTGCAATCCTGTAAGTTTTTATCAATTTTTCATTGACTGAATTCAGTTTAAATGAACAAGGAGGGACAAGGAAGAATTCAACAAATCACTTCTGCTGAAGTTGCAGGAATGTCTTAAGAATGAAACTAGGCTTGCTCTATGATTAATAATAAGAAAAGCATAGTATTTTCTTATAAGGCAACAAGTGTTCAAGACTCCTATGGTGAGAACAGTAAGTTAAACATTGTTTCATTCACGGTTCATCATGGAGAAGCCTTCTGCCCAGTATCAGTAGTGCTAACTCAAATTCTTACTCATGATTTTCATCTGTGCACTGATACAAATCCTCCTTCTTTACTTCTACAAAGGACGAAGCAGAGATTACATCTGATGGCTGCTGCAAAATATGTAAACGTAAGTAATGCTGTGTTTATGTATTCTGCTTGAAGAGCACTCTATTCAACTATCTGAGTGGATGGAAGTATTTTTCACTCCCACTGTTTTCACACAGTCTATTTAGGAAGACCCTGTGTTTCACTGTTTATTCAAAAGAAAAATGCAATTTTTTCTTGATATTGAATACCACAAATCAAACCAGCAATACTAAAGCCTCTGCATTATCTTCCAAATGTACTGTACAGCCGAAATCAGAAAATAATCTGACAACTCCATATACATTACACAGTACCCATCCCATCACATACTACAGATTCTCAGTAATCAGACATCAAGCACTTTGAAACTAGTTTATAATTCCTTTAGTTCAGAACTAGAGAACTGAAGTATATTTTCTCTTCTCCCCACTTTTTATGAAGCTAAAAACTGCAAGCCTTACACCAAGGAAACTGTGATCCGCCATGCTGACTGTGAGTCTTCTGAACCTGTTGAGCTGTCATATTGTGAAGGAACTTGTCCTAGCTCCTCAATGTAAGTTCTAAAAATTCATTTAACATCTCTATAGCTTCCTTGATCTGGTAAATCATGTAAATTGATCACCCAAGGGTACTGAGGGAGCTGGAGAAAGTGCTTACAAAGCCACTTTCAATCATTTGTCAGCAGACTGGTTAACCATGGAGGTCCCAGTTGGCTGCAGGCTAGCAAAGGAGATGCTCATCTACAATAAAGCTTGGCAAGAGGATTCAGGGAGGTAGAGGCCTGTCAGCCTGACCTTGGTACCAGGCAAGGACATGGAGCAGATTGTCTTGAGTGTGATCACGGAGCATGCACAGGGTAAAAAGGGGATCAGGCCCAACCAGGATGGGTTTGGGAAAGGCAGCTGCTGCTTGACCAACCTGATCTCCTTCTAGGATATGGTGACCTACTTAGAAGATGAGGAAAAGGCTGTGGATATTGTCTACCCAGACTTTTGTAAAGCTGTTGACAGCATTTCCCACAGCATTCTCCTGGAGAAGCTGGGAGCTCATAGTTTGGACAGGTGAACTGTTCACTGCATAAAAAACTGGCTGGATGGCCAGGCCCAGAGGGTGGTGTTGAGTGGAGTTATCTACAGCTGGGGAACGGTCACCAGTGGTGTTTCCTGCGGCTCAGTATTGCAGCCAGCCCTGTTTTATATCTTTATCAATAATTGTGTGATGTTCAATAACGCTTAGTGCTGTGATCTGCCCATGGGTCACAACAGCCCCAGACAGTGCTACAAGCTGGGGTAGAGGGGCTGGGAAGCTGCCCAGTGGGAAAGGACTTGGGGATGTTGGTGACAGCTGTAGGACATGAGCCAGTGTGTGTGCCCAGGTGGCCAGGACAACTAAGAACACCCTGGCCTGGATCAGCAATAGTGTGGCCAGCAGGACCAGGACAATGTATTCAGCGACAGTGAGGCCACACCTCAAATCCTGTGTCCAGTTCTGGGCCTCTCACTGAAAGAAAGACATGGAGGTGTTGGAGTATGTCCAGAGAAGGGCAACAGAGGTGGGGAAGGGTCTGGAGCACAAGTCTGAAGAGCAGTTAAGGAAACAGCTAAGGGAGTCTGAAGAGCAGCTGAGAGAGTTGGAGGTGCTTAACCTGGAGAAAAGAAGGCTCAGGGGAAATGTTCACACTCTCTACAACTGCCTGAAAGGAGGGTGTAGTGAGGTAGGGGTTGATCTCTTCTCCCAGGTAACAAGTGAAAGGACGAGAGGAAATGGCTTCAAGTTGCACCAGGAAGGGTTTAGATTGCATATTAGGAAATATTTCGTCACTGAAATGTCAAGCACTGAACAGGTTGCCCAGGGAAGCAGTTCAGTTACCATCCCTTCCAGTATTTAAAAGACATGCAGGTGTGGCACTTAAAGACACAGCTGAGTGGGGGACTGGGTAGTGCTGGGTTAATGCTTAGACTTGATGATCTGAGAGGTCTGTTCCAATCTACACGATTCTGTGATTGCAGAACAGCAACAAAGTCAATGTGTTTATATGATTCTACTAAATTGAATTGGATTCAATGGAAGCATGAACAGTTTCCCTATTGAAGACAATGAAAATCACATTCACAAGTGTGCGTGACAAGGAGGAAAAGAGGATGTTAAAAAAAAAACCCAAAACCAAACCAAACACTCACAAACCAAAAAATCACTGAGGGTGTTTTCTGTGAGTTTTTAACAAGATGCATTTTTCCCCCGGCGGAACACAGGTACTCTCTTGAAGCGAACCAGATGGAACACAAGTGTGGTTGCTGCCAGGAACTCGGGACCCAAACAAGAGAGGTGACCCTGACTTGCCAAAATGGAACCAGCATAAATTATACCTACCTCTATGTGGAAAACTGCCAGTGTGTGAATGCTTGCTCTTCAGAAACCACTGCAGCACCTGACTCCCAATTCCAGCAATCTAGAAAATATGGCTCCCAATTGCAACAGGCTGTATCACTTGGTTCCCAGTGGCAACTCAGCTGAGGATATGATCACTGGAAAAAGAAAATGGAGACCCTAGGGAAGCTGGAATTGTGTCTTCCCCATATAACTTCCTCAATAACTTGTGTTCCTTCTTTAACATTCTTTTTTTCATGTCTTACTTGTAAAAATAATTAAAAAAAAGGTCAACTAAATTGCACTGTTTGGGTTTTTTTTCAAATGTTATAGTATTGAAGAGTAAAAACTGGTGACTGCAAAATCCCTCATGTAACTTACAGAAATATGCAAACACATGCTTTATCACAAAAACTGTATTTGGGGTAAAAAAGAATTAAGGAGTCTCTAAAAAGTAAATCAAGAAAACATTGCAGTTACATTGCACTTCTTGATCCTAGTGACAGCATTATTGCATATCCTTTTTTACAGACATAATAGTCCTAACACATCTCAAAAACAGGGACAAAGCTGTTTTATTTGATCAATAAAACTTTCAGTACTTTTCAGTTATGGTGACTGTTCAATACCCATCTTCATTACCTAAATGACAGAGTCCAATGAATGGCATCAGTTTTCTGACTCAGAGGGGTATATTCTCTAGGAGTCTTTGGGAATACAGCCCCCTTCCTGGACTAGGTAAAATTCCCTTATCCATGTCCAAATAGCTCTTTCCACTGGCATAAAAGGTACAAAGATGAAAAAACTCCTTTTATTTGCTCACTTCAACCTCCTTTAGTTTGTTCCTCATGCTGCATATACTGTATGTATTTCAAATGTACTCCAGCATACTCACACATCACAGAGCAGTGTGAAGGATCTTGCTAACACTCCATTGGTCCAACACTTGTGTGTGGCCACCAGGCTTAAGTCCAGCAAGCATAGGTTTAGCCCTTTTCCCCTTTAGTCCAGTTTAATGCTCTTTCAATGAGCACTGCACCCTTGTGCAAAGATCCTTCTCTCTGCCTGAGACAAGAGTACCCAAGCTGTTGCCTCCAAGTATCGATCTGCTGGTTCTTGTTTCTTCCCTCACTATTCCGTGCAACTAGAAGGATAAAGGAGAATACTACTCATGCTCCTGATCCCATAGTAACCAGGTGTCCTGAGGCCCCAAAACCCCTTCTGATCATCCTTGGCCTTCATATTGCAAACTTTGTAATTGCCTACAGGAGAAAGCAGCATTGGGTAATAATCCAAGGGCTGTACCAAAGCTGAAAGTTTCCTCATCACATCTCTAACCCAGCCCCCAGGGAAGCAGATGACTTCCCTATGAAGTGGGGCTTGCCAGGAAATTGGACCTTCTGTTCCTCTCACTGGAGGGTCTCCTATGCCAATACCTCATCTTTCTTTCTGGAAGCAGTTTCAACACAGTGCATAGGGGAACTTCACCTTAATGAGTCTTCCTACAGAGATGAACCACTGTCCTCATCATATGGTTTCCATATGGTTTCCACTTGCAAAGCCTTGTACCTATTAAACAAGGGCACCTGGGAAGGTAGGGTAGTCACAGAGGAGTGTCCTGGCCATACCAGGCAGAACTTTGTAACCATTATCCCCTCTATATACCCTTCTATAACTACTTAAAGAATAATTTTAAAAATAGCTTTATGCATTTTAAATCAACTTAATACTCCACATTAAACTGATGATTATTACAGAGGTAACAAATTTAAAGCAGAAAACATTGCCCTGTGAGTGTTAAGTTCCTGATAATCTATAGAGAAACAAGGACTGCAGACACATGGAAAATGTACTTTTTCATTCACTCTGGTTATTTTATAACTGGAGATAATTTCAACATAAACTGAATCATCCTTCATTCTCTTTCAATTGTAAATGTATTAAACTTATAAAAATTGTCAATTTCTCATATACTGAGATGTTTTAAAAACATGTTCTAAGTGAACTCTTTGAATACTTCAAACAGTAGTACTTTTAAAATTCTCTCATCCATGGAAACACACACTCAGATAATTTTCAATCTACTTGCTTTCCATAAATCCACTTTTCCTGCCTATATGCAAATTTTCCTTCAAAAGTTATGGTATAACTCAGGTATATCTCACAAAATTAATTATGCTTTCTGGCAAGATAGTAAAGAAAATACTTCTAAAATACATTGCTGCATGAAAATAGATTAACTTTGGTTTCTGACTAAGCTTCCCGAGGATCTAGAAGAGAAAGCTCAAGTCTTCAGTAGGCTACAACTCAAAACTGCAGACAAACTTGCTAATATGGGTTTTCATTTTTTCCTTCTTATTCTAATAAAACACATATTTGCATTTCTCCTGAAGGCCTTGCTCACACTGATGCTCTGTAATGTTTTAATAATTCAAAATATACTGATTTCTCTCTATACCCCTACATATCATCTCTGATTAACACTGAAATGAAAAAGCTAATAAAAATACAAAATACTAAACAGATGCTTCAGCAGCAGCAAGAACACAAACGTTTTTTTAAAGTAAATAATTTTCACTCTTCCCATCTCTCACAGCAAAATAGAGAAATGTGAAAGGAAACTGTAACCTTTGAAGATAAATTGGGATAGAAACTGATACTCAAGTGCTAGAAAAATGTACAATTTTAACATAGTTTTATTTCACAGTAGGTACTCAATACTTTTAAGGAAATAAATAAAAGAAAAATCAGCTGTGAAAGATTCCTCTCAACTACCATTTGTTTAAAAAAACAACCAACTCTTGATTAGGATAAATGAATGGACAGTAAATTCCAAAATGTTAGCTTGATAACACAGTAATACTTCAGACTAGCAGTTCGTTAATAATCCAAATTATAACTGCGCATGGTGATGCTGTTATGTGAGAGAGGCCCCAGATACCTTTGCCATCACAGTACTAGAAAGAGATGCTATGCAAACCAAATATTTCAAATTCATTTACCATGTATTAGCAGATAAAGCCAGCTCTTTTTGTAGCTGGAATAGCACCCATGGCCATTTCACTTTGACACCACTCCCATCCAGAGTCCTCAGTCCTTCACAATGCAGCATTCCCTCCATACCCATGTGCTGTTCTTCCCTCCTCCCTCACTCTCCAGTGTCCTCCAGACCTGCAATATTAGCACATTTCCTTGAGAAAGCAGCCCCTAGTAGAAGCGTCAGAAAGAGGAATTCTCAAAGTAATTTTAAGCATTTGCTGTTACTGTTCCCACCAGATGGTCACGTTAAGAAGCATCGTAATTTGCCAACCAATGTTCAACACTGAATAGAAGACAGTAACCAATACCTGAATTTTAGATCAAAGACTCACACTGTGGTGCTCTCCAACAGAGACATGATACACTTTCATTCAGATGGTACATTTATTAAATTAGAATGAAAAAGTTAATGTACTTTAGAGTGCAAGAAACATATTTGGACACTGGACCTCAATACAGAGAAACAATGCCTTCAGAATAATTACAGCAAAACAACATCCTCTGTAGGGTATTACATGTCAACCAAATAGGCAATAACGTTTATAAGGGGGGAATAAACCCATTGAGTACCATCAGCAGATGCAAAGAGCAGTACAGAAATTGCAAGGATCTAGCTAGACAAAAGATGTTCCTACCTTTAGCAAGTTGAGGCTCTTGGCAGGACTCAAACTATACTGAGAGCACTAACTTTTAGCAGATGCCTGTCTTACACAGCTGGCTTTGGCTCCAAGGTGCTGGAAGTTGTTGAGCAGAGGAGCAGCATCAAACACAGTATTACCCCATTAGCATTTTCTCAAAAGCAACAATCATGACTGGCGATTTGTTTATTTTAAATAGAACACCAGACTTTCAGCTCCAATACCTTAATTTCACAGACCCTAAAATAGTAAACACTTCCTGTCTTTTTTCATCTCTCTCCAATTCAAGCCTAACAACAAACAGCTTAACTGGAAGGATATGTATGCTGAAAAGCTGAGTGGGCTGATTACTTTGTTCTTTTTAACAAGAGAAAGTAGCACATATTGATATAAGAGTTTAATGCTTAATTAAATAAAGACAAAAAAATCCACAGAACAATATTTAAGTATAGTGTAAGATAATGAAATCCCTCTACTGGCAATACTGCTCCTACATATCCTATTTTCAAGTCTTATTTACCCTGTTTTGCATAACATTTGCTAGGAAAAAAAATACACACTAAAAATATATCTAAGAACAGGAGACTCCCTCAGAGGGCCAGAGTCAGTTTATGAATAAACCTGGCTAGCTTAACTTTTACACTTACCCCTTCTGGCTGTTAGGACTGAAAGGTGATTTTGTTCTGAGCTTGAAATGGAACTGTAATAAGGATGCAGTACAATTTACCAGCCATTAAGTTGAACCATGACCACTTGCTTTTATGAAAAGCTGTATTATGAATCCCATCATTTTAATATAAAAATTTAAATATGTACATTTTCCCTGAATTGATCCATCCTTAGCAATTCAAGCTATGTAAAAGTTCGACTACAGGATTTGTCCTGGAGGTATCTAAGCATTAAATCCATACCAACATTCATTTTTTTGGGTCATGATATCATAAAACACTCTGCTTTTATAAAGACCAAATGCCTCTACACCTACTTAATCACAAAATTTACCATGATTGTAAGGAAGGGGCGAGACTAGTTTCTTGAAGACTACCCATTTAACTTTAGAAAACAAAAGTGTGGCAATTCTGCAACTACAGTACAAGAACTATAGCCTTGAATTTCATTATTCAAAATCCAGTTGGAGAATGTCCAAAGACACTTATGCTTTCAATGAGAAGTTTAAGATGTTAAGGGATTCATAACAAAACTTAAAACTGTACATTATGAAGAGACAGCTTTAAAAGGTCAGAAACTGGGATAATTTTTGGTGTTGTATTTTAAAAGTTTCAGTACTACTTTTAATGATTAAAAAAATAAATATTCATTATCTACTGCCAGTACTTTCTAAAGGCTACTTGAATGTAGGTTGAGGGGGGATAAAATCAGTTTCCCATCAGATAATAAAGAAAATATGTTAGGCATAGGACATAAAGTATGGGAAAGAAGAGAATATGGGTCATCATTCTCTATTCCAAACCTGGCTTTAATGTTCTCATGAATCACTCAAGAGCCTAGATTTCAAGCATACATTCATTTCAACTCTTGAAAATATAAAGGTCTATGGCTATTGTAGAAAGTATTTGAAATCAAACATTAAAGAGACAAAACAGCAACATTGCACATC